ATATATATAGACACATATGTAAACATACATGTGTACACACACACAAATATACAAACACACAAAAATGTACACACAAACATATATACACACACACGTACAGAACAAGCCTATATACATACTTGCAAACATACACACACGTACATACAAATGAATATACGCACACAAACGAGCACGCACTCAAACATCCAGCAGATAAAATACACACCCTCCAACACACCCGAATAACACACGTGTGCAGATGTACTTTAAAAGTTCTAACGTAAGCCAAGATTAATAGTTTTTTAAAGTTTTTCTTAAAAGAGATTTAGAATTTTGTAAATCACAGTCAAATGAGTTCCATAATTTAGGCCTAACGAAAGGAATACACAAACTGGTATTATAGAGATGCTTATGTGTGGGTCTAACATGGCTTCAGCTGCTATACCAAGCATGGATCATATATCAAGGATATGCCTACAAAGTTTTAGTGACAATTCAGAGTGGGCTGTGGATGTGAGGGATTCAACAGCAAACACCCAATACCATATATTTCAAAAACTAATCTAAATGAAATTGTTGTGAAAGTTTAACCAAGTTGCAAGGAAGAAATATTAAATTTTGGTGACAATCCAGATTTGGGTGTGAACTTTAGGGTGATTTACAATTGTAACGTCCCAGACCTAAATATCTCAAACAACTTTATCAATGGATCTAAAGATGAAGATCCGGAGTAGGGTGTGGATATTTAATTAACGAGGAAGAAATTATTAAAAATATTTTTGACGATCCAGAATCGTGTGTGAATGTTAGGGTCATTTAAAATGCAAAGCTACCAGACCTAAATATCTCAAATAAGTTATCAATGGATCTAAATGAAACTTTCCAGAATATGGTATAATGTGGATATGATCACCATTCAAAGAAAAATGTCCCGGTCCAGATATACAAAAAAAAAAAAAAAAAAAAAAAAAAAAAATACAAGAAAAAACCAAAAAAAAAAAATACCTACTGATTTTAATGAAACTTTTTTTGGAAAGTCTAACCAAGATACAAGAAAGAGATTATTAAATTTTGGTGACGATTCAGATCTGAGTGTGAATTATATGGTCAAGTGCTCACGTCTCAGAGCGAAATATCTTAAGAACTCAACAATGATCAAAATAAAACTTAAATTTTGGTGACGATTCGAAGTAGGGTGTGGATCTGAGGACCATTTAATTGGAAACGTCCCAGACCAGATATCCCAAAAACTGATCGGCTGATCAGAATGACACTTTCTTGACTATTTTACCCTGTTACAAGAAAGAAAATATTGAATTTTAGTGACGATCCAGATTCGAGTGTAAAATTGAGGGTCTCTTTATTGTGCAAAGGTCTCAGACCTAAAAACGTATCAATGGATCTAAATCAAACTTTTTAGAGCTGATAGATAGTGATTGTGACCCAAATGTGAAAGTTCAATGTGAAAGTTCAAAGGTCAAATATTCAAAAATATCCATTTGAACTCAACTTTACCAGGAATGATCTGACTGGTTTCATGTTCTATTGAACGTTGTTTCTAGTTGATTGAATTTTTTTCATTATATCGTTTTCTGTTATTTTTATAATTATTATCTCATCAATGTTTTTATTTTAATTTATTTAATTAAACATTTTTACACAGGATACATTTTCAGGCAGATGTTAATGCTTGTTTTTAACAATGGTCCTGCACAATGATTACAATGCAAGTATAGACAGTCCAGAAATACTGACTAATACTATTGTACTTGAATTATAAACACAATTAATTATACTCTAGGACTAACTTAAAGATAAGATAGCCTACGTACGGTATATATTGCGGTTTTATTTTTAATAATCTAACCTTTACAATTGCAGGTTCACATGTAGACAATTTAACCTATCACTAGTGCTACGGGATGTCATATTACACCCAATGAAGGGTATGTCACATTCCTTTTGTGACAAATGTCACGTAAAATTTGGGCCTGGAAAGTCTGGATTAAAAGGGTTGAGAGCCAGAGTATTATACAAATGCTATTATTAATCCCAGCCAACACAGGTTGTATGAATAAGTGAACGAATGAACAAACATAAAAGTAAATGAATGAGTAAATGTTACAAATTGCAAGACATTCTTTTTTTACCAAACATTTCTACCTCAAGTCGGTAATGCTTAACGCTTCAAACCTAGTCCTACTTCACTGCTTTTTTTTATTCTTATTTTTTGACAGGCCTTAATATTTTTCCACTTTATAACGTTTTTTTTAACTACAGGAAAAAATCGGATGGCGTCCTAAATCACGACATTTTATCATATATATGTCAGATGCAGGTTTACATATCGCCCTTGATGGAAAGGTAGCGTATGATTCAAAATTCATTTATTTATTGCCATATA